ATCAGCTGCTAATAGACGTGCTAGGGAGATTTCTCCTGATCGAGAAATGTGTCTGTTAGAGCAAAGAGTCCAGTCCTCTTCTCAAAGACATCATCAATTATCAGTGTATATAAACGGACCTTTAGGGCCAACAATTATTTAATAGTGTAAGAAACGCACGGTAATTTTCAGCACTACTTCTTACATCTTATTATTTGACCAAATGAACTGCATGGATTCCAAACAAAACTATTTTAATGAGTGTAGTTGTTCTGAGAAACGTCAAGAATAGATGTAAAACTTTTAACTGAAATTATTGTACTATACGTGTCAATACACTGCGGTGTTCCATTCAATAAGTCTCGGGCAAAGCCGAGACGGGGGGATCACTGGTTTATATATACACTGAAAATGCGTTTGTTTCTTTATCACTGGTGCTTGCTTGCTGAAGACAACACCTTCTGAATCAATACACTTCAATACTGTTGGTTCTCTAAACCAATGCCTGCTTGCCTAGAAGCACATTTTTTTCATCAATACGACTGCGAAACTGTTAAGTTTATAATCCCCGAGGCTTGCTTGTCTAAAACCACATTTTATACATTATGTCATAGAGAAACTGTTGAGTTTGTAATCACAGATACTTTCTTGCCTAAAAGAACATTTTATTATTATGTTGCAAAAAGTTTTCTAATTCACAAAAAAAAAACTGATATTTTAAACATAAAATAAAAAGATTAACTTGCAACGCTAGTTATGCGACATGTTGCACATCGAAAAAAAAGTTGTTCTGGATTTGCTTAGCCGTGCGCTGTAATAAAACTTGCCCAACTTTTAGAAGCTTTTATTCCTTCTTTTTTGTAACTTTGAAACTAATGATCTTCAATACTGAATCTTAATTTTTTTAATTACTATGAATAAAAATGGTAACTTTTTTTTAAGTTAATTTTGTTATAAATTACTGGTTATCGCACGTATGCTCCNTTATTATATATACTGCAAAACTGTCGGGTTTCTAATTGTTGATGCCAGCTTGACTTGACCAGCATATTTAATCTCTTATTACACAGAATATTTGTTGGATTTTTAATCGCTGATACTTTCTCGCCTAAAAGCACATATGATTCATTAATTTTACTAAAAAACTATTGAATTTAAACTAACCTATCCTGCCTTAGAGCACATTTTATAATTAAATACACTGCTAAACTGTTGGATTTTTAAATACTAAGATACTGTTTGGCTTTGAATCGCTGACACTTGCTTCCCTCAAATAACATTTTATAATTCAATACAGTACAAAACTATTGGTTTTCTCATCACCGATGTCACCAAGCCTTAAAGCATATTCTGTTTTTTAATAATACTAAAAAACTATTGGGTGTCTTATCGATGATTCTAGCTCACATAAAAGCTCATTTTATTTTTCAAGATACTGCAAAACCGTTGGGTCCGCAATTACCAGTGCTTAGTTCCCTAAATGCACATTCTATTGATTAATATTACTGAAAAACTGAAAACAACGTCCAATGGTGGCACTGTAAAATTTATTTATTTATTCAAAAACAAAAACAACGTCCCGGCCCTCATCAGGTACAAAACGTTATGAAGAATAAAAAATATTCTTTACACTACAAATTTTGATAAAATACAATTAACGAAAATAAAGTAAAGTGTACAAGATACCTCTGACTCTTACGAATGAAATGTAAAATCGTAATGTAGTCAAAGTTTCAAGTGAAGCTGCTTATATACTCTGCACATAAACATTTTATATAGTACACGTGCGCAATACATTCTTATGAGAATCACAGATAGTTCCTTGTAAGAAGCATACAAACGGTACATGCGTTCCTGATACTACAAACAAAAGAGGCCTCCCAAATGATGTACATTTAGTTAATTCTCTTTCGTAATTGATTGAACGAGAGGCTTATAATAATTTTGAAATTTTTCTATATTTTGTTGTCTGTTAATATTAATTGAAGTAATGTATATTCAACATAGTGGAAAAAAGGCGTTTCTGTAATTTTGTTTAGTGTCTAAAATGTTTATTTTATCAAAACTCAAGTTATGTGAAAATTCAATGCTATGTTGTGATGGTACAGATCCTTTTTCTTCTTTATGTCTTTTTTATGTTCTGACATTTTTATCTTTAAACCTCTTGATATTCGAGCGACATGGCAGCAGTTGCAATTCGCATATGGTATGTGGTAAACGGCGTTTTTTCCATCAAGTTGCTTAATTACATCCTTTTCCAGGGAAAAAACGAACTCAATTTATTATTTAACCTGCATTTAAGACCAATGTGAAGCTTATACAAAAAAATTGATGACTGTGCAAGTGGGGAAAAAGCGGTTATAATAAGATCAGTTTATAATTATTATTATTTATACTACGATTATCAATCATATTTTTTTTGTAAGGTATTTATTCTTTTATTCACAAATTTATCAATCAATTTTGGAGAATAGATCTCAGTAGAAATGATCGTAATTGTTAACTGATCTTATTGTTACTGTATATTCCCTACTTGCACAGTCATTCAATATTATTGTAAAAAACTTTACATTGGTCTTGCATACAGTTTAAATAATAAGTTGAATTCCATTTTTTTTTTTGGGAAGAATGTAACTGAGATACTCGATAGAAAAAAACATTGTTTACCACATAATATGTGCAAGTTACAACTGCTGTTATGTCGGTCTAACATCGAGAGCTCTTAAATTAATAATGGCAGAACACAAAAAAGACATAAAAAACACAAGGGATGGTTCTGTACAATAACAAAATAGCATTGAATTTGCACATAACTCCAAATCATGGATCAGGACGAAAAAAATTTTTACAATCTTTCTTATTTTATTATTAAAAAAAAAAAAAAAAAAAGTTACGGGCTCTTAAAAAATCTTACTATACGACTAAGGTAATGGCACTGTTAGTAATAATATAACTTTTATTACATTTACATTATGTACTTCCTAATAAAATTCGTTAAAATCACTATTCGGGTCTATTCGCTGTAAGGATGAAGACCAGCAGCGCTCCAGCGTACTTTTTCCAAGACCTGAACATGTCGTGAGCAGATTGTTGTGCCGTGATACATAAGGACTCAGTGACATGAATATTCATTGCAATCAATTGAGAGCTCGTGGTACTCTGCACTTAAAATATGTATAAGTTTGTGTAATGAATTATCCATACAAAATTTTTTAACCTATCACAGTGCTGTGAATCACCAACAAATATGAAGGGCGATGATGCAGATGACACAAAAAGGTTATGGACATATACATGTGAATATGCGTGTGTGCCTCTGTGAATAACTTATTGCACTAACTTTCATTTATTAAAAGTGCAGAGTGCCATGCGCACTCAATTAGTTACAATAAATATTCATGTCGCCAAGTCCGTATGTATCACGGTACAACAATTGGCTCCGGACACGTTCAGGTCTTGAAAAAAATCCGCTGAAGCGCTACTGGTCTTTATCCTCAAAGCGAATAATTCAACATTAAACGGAGATGCAATGCATTACAGGGTAGCGTTATGGGTTCTTAACAAAAACAGATGCGTTACGGGATCTTACAAATGCGTCAAAAAATCAATTTGCAACTTACCAAATAAAAATTATACTTCACCACTGCACTTATATCACACACACTATCCAACACCTTCCGAGTCGATTACCGAACACTTCTGAAAGATAACACTCTTTAGCGTTACAGGCTCTCAGTTTTTATTTTGGGGGGATCGAATTTACGAATTAGCGAGCCTGTAGCACGGGCTCATCAGAATGACAAATTATTTTTGATTTATTATTAATTTTCATAAAATACAATACGTCCCAATTGGAACCCTAATATTCAATTGTGTGCATCTGTGGAAACATTTTCCGGTGAAATGGTACATTTGTCAGATTTCCGTCTCACAATCTAGAAAACATACAAACTTTGGTTAACATTTTTTTGGTTCTCTTGAATGCGTAGAAATATTATTCATATTACTAACTGTAAGATCCTATGCTATAGAAAAATTGAAAAATCCGTATTTTGCTTCTAGGCCTTGTCAAAACTGTAAATTTACGAGTAAGACACGAGCCTATAACACTGATTTAGCTACTCTTTTGCATCTTTGATTAAAGCAATTCTCTTTTATCATCTGAATTTTGTTGTGCTATTAGCAGTTAATATTTCTTTCATATTCAGAAAAATTCCTACATTAATATCTCCTGACACGACGTTGTAATCGACTGGGACATGCAACATAGCATTTTTGGTTGAATTATATACATAAAATGTAGATCCGTTACCTTTACAATATAATACAACTGGAAATAAATAATAAAAAAAAACTACAATATCTTTAGTTTTATGATTTGACTGTACTTAGACAGGTACATTTCTTTAAAAACTATAATTTAAAAATTTTACTGATCGATTTGAGCATTATACTGAATACTCAAATTTACGTTCTGAGTATAAGTATCAAGGTCATCTATATACAGTATAGAAAGAGTAACGAAATGCGTAAAAAAAGTATTAAAGATATTTGTTTGACTACTTGTTTTGAAAAATATTTCTCCCAGAAAAATAATTAAACCATTGAAAGTTATTTCACTACACTATTAGTAGTATTGAAAGTATTTATTTATATTATAAGTTAGTAAGTATTTTTTAATAAAAAATAATAATTTTGCAGACGTGCATACCAGCAACAATATTTTTCATTGCAAATGTTCAAGTGCGTTATAGTTTTCTCAAAAATCATTTTACACAAATAAAACCATTTGATTTCTCTTACAGAGATTCAAAATAGTTTCATTGATGCATCTAAATAGGATATGAAATTACTCTTTTTCTCTGTATTATAAGGAAAATTAAATGTATATATTATGAGAGATCGTATGAATAGTAGATTTAAAGTTTTTACTTTAATGATTAAAAACTACATAAATTTATAAAAATCAAAATGTATTGATTATTATTATTAAAAATCAAAATATATTATTATTGCATTTTTTATATTGAATTAGCGCCGATTGAGTACTTTTGACCATCCCCCAGCTTCTTCGTTCATTGGATTTGGCGATTCTTTATCTTCACTTACGGAGCTCGAGCCTTGACATTGGTTTTCATTTCTGGAAAATAAAAAAAAATGTTTTGTTAAATAATTAATAGTTGTTTTGTAACTTATACTGTCATATCTAGAATCCAGTACAATATTTTTTCAACAAATCTGACAAACCAAATAGGAGTATTTACGTATAAGAATAAGATTTGTACATTTAAAAGTTTAATAGTACGTATTGTAAGATTATTAAGAATTTTTTTTATCTCAATTAACGGGAAATTACTGTGAAATTTTACAGTATTTAATGAAAGAAAATCAATGATACTTTGTCGAATGACATCTTTCAAGCGAAGACTGCGGTTCTTAGATTTTTTAATTATGGTTCTGTGTATCACAATTAATAAGGATATACAATTTGATATTTTTCCATCGTCAACTTATATCTGTAGTATTGAAGTGCTTACTAAAATCTAGTTGAAACAATTATCAATTTAACATAGTCTACGACAATGGAAAGTTATACGTAAACTAGTGGTATTTTTCACTTCTCTACGCATACTAATTGTATTTTCTCCATTGGACAGTATCTATCTCCAGTAGACAGATCTATATTACGATAAGGCAACGTTTCGCTGGCCTCATCAGGCCGAAATATTACATCGACTCTAAACACACAAAGAACATGCAGTAAAATACAAAAATTTTTCAACATCAAAGAAAAAATTAACAACTATAACAAAATATTATCATCGTTGCCTACAAATTGGTGCTACTGGAACAATACGAGCGAAAATTCATTCTAGTCAACTCCACGTCTATACTGAGCAATGGTCTGACAGTGTTTGTGCACGATGATTAACCCACACAGTAACAACAACAAACGTTAGACCACTCAGTGTCTATCACTATTCTACAAAACGCGCCACAAAGGTAAATAAACCCTACTAAGCATATCAACGTCTTCTTTCTCATTCAAAGTATTTCTATATAAATTAATATAAATCATTTCTGACAACAGTCTTTTTTTGTAGTTAGGTTCTATATCACGTATTTTTACGGAGTCCCAGTTAAAATTGTGTCTAAAATTACTTGAATACTCAGAAATAACTGAATCTTTTTTGTATCTTTTAGAATGTTCTTTTATACGACACTTGACCGCTAGTTTGTCCATCGTTCGTCCAACATAACTAACAGGACAGTCTCTACATAAGAACTTATAAAATACTTCTGTCGTATTCAGTTTAGATGTTTGGTCTTTATCTAATTTTATAATATTGCTAAGAGGTTTATGAACCGATAGAATTACGCGGACATTATGTGTCTTAAGGCTATTAGTGCATTTTTTAATAATGGTTATTGACGAACGAAATTAATTTCAATAGTTTTGACACGATCATGAGGATATGGAAAAACTAAATTAAGAGAAGGTTTATTAGATAAAGCAGAGATGCGAAATTTGATGTGTCGACTAATAAACAAGGTCGGGTGATCATTATTAAGGAGCGATTGTCTTACAATTTGTGTACAATCACTGTGAAAACTACGATGCGATAAGAGAATAGCACGGTTAACAAAATTGTAGTTAATAAATTTTTTTTTGAGAGAGGATGATTAGAAAAAATGTTTCAGGTACGGAAAGAAAACATTTCTTTCTCGAATCAATTTTTAATGATTTGAGAATTTCAAATTAATAATGTAACATCAAGAAAATTAATGCTGTGATTGTGCTGAAGTTTATGTGTGAATGTTAAGTTAATGTGATAGTTATTAACAACTATTGATACCGTATCAATATAATTCATACGGATACGTAGTATCGTGTCGTTGACGTAGAGATAATAGAGAAGGGGGCACTATTGTATTTATTTTTTAATAGTCATAGGGAATTTGATTCACAATAAGTCATCATCAGATCTGCAAACAATGGTGAAATGGGAGAACCAATAGGTTAGCCGAATGTTTATTGATAGATGGTGCAAATTCTTGATGAATTTCAAGTAATATCTTAAGTACGTGGTTTTGGGTCTTTTACACAATGAAATTTCACTATTGGTGGCACTGAGCAGCAGTGTCTTTGCGTGTTCCTTGACGTTTGAATGCAGAGTTCTTTTTATAATGGTGTGGAGTCAACGCGAGTGAAAACAAAAAAAGCATTAATTTAAACTTTTTTATACATTTTATTTTTATTTTTATAAACATTTATTGCTCGAAGTTTTGCGTATTGTAATAAAAAAAAAAAAAACATTATTTTAATCCTTTTAAAATATGTTCTTTTCATAGGTATAAATATTTATGGCACGAATTTTTGCCGTCTCATTTAAAATACCCACATATTTATCTGACTGGCTCAGGGTAAGTGTAGATGGAGGCTAGGGGTCTGCCAGACTGGCTTAAAGCTCAGAAGAGTGAGAGAGAGGTTAAATGTGGTCACGTGATGAACCTTTCTCTCTCACTCTTATGAGCTTCAATACCAGTCTGACAGACTCCAGGACTCTATTTTAATCCACCCTCACATTTTTTCAAACGTTCTACTTAACTCTAGTTTAATTTTACTTTCAAATTTTCGCGCCATTTAGTAACGCGTCACTTGATTACAAACATTTATTCGATATTTTATCTTGGAAATTTCTACTTGACCTATTCGATTATCGGGTTTCTTGAGTCTTATTTAACTTTAAAATTTTCGCGTCTGTTCAGTGACGTCAATCAATGAATGATAAATTTTTTTGATGTTTTATATGTATCACGTATTATCATCTGCTAATGATTAAGAAACGATATTAATTATGAAATAATGTTAGTTCGGAAATTATACTGTTTATCCTAAAAAAAAATTTTGGTACATCGTCCGAGATTTCCATCCGGGACCTTCGATTATTAATTAGATGCCTAGTGTAGTCTACTGCGCCATTGCGCCACTTTGTTCTCGCTGTATAAATACCAGTACATATACGAACTGCCCTTCCACATATGTTCGTATACTTGACAGAAAGAAAGAGAGAAAAAGAGAGAAAAAGAGAGAGAGAGAGAGCAAGAAAGAGAAAGATAAAGAAAAAAAGAGAGCGTGCGCTTGCCACTGCATGCATGATACGCTGTACTATACTACTCGCTGTCGAGAGAGCATGCGGTGGTAGGGGGGCGAACAGGAACGAAGGTGACAAGAAAAAAAGTGACACTTTCTCCTACTTTTATTCAGCAAGGGCGCATCATAAGAAGCTTCGCTTCGAAAAAATTCAGTTGTTTCTGTACATACAAGTAATTTTAGACACAATATTAACTGGGACTCCGTAAAAATACGTGATATAGAACTTAACTACAAAAAAAAGCTGTTGTCAGAAATGATTTATATTAATTTACATAGCAATTCTTTGAATGAGAAAGAAGACGTTGATATGCTTAGTAGGGTTTATTTACCTTGGTGGCGCGTTTTGTAGAATAGTGATAGATACTGAGTGGTCTTACGTTTGTTGTTGTTACTGTGTGGGTTAGTCATTGTGCACAAATACTGTCAGACCATTGCTCAGTATAGACGTAGAGTTGACTAGAGTGACTTTTCACTCGTATTATTCCAGTAGCACCAATTTGTAGGCAATGATGATAATATTTTGTTATTTGTTAATTTTTTCTTTGATGTTGAAAAATTTTTGTATTTTACTGCATGTTCTTTGTGTGTTTAGAGTCAATGTAATATTTCAGCCTGATGAGGCCAGCGAAACGTTGCCTTATCGTAATGTAGATCTGTCTACTTATTGATTCTCAAGTGATCGTTTATCAATTTCTCATTCTGTGTGAACATAGAAGACGACTATAATTTAACTCATCTATTAAATAAATACATAACCTGAAGGATCACATTAAATGCAAAATGACTCTTTGTTTTGCATTAATGTTAGATGAATCGCTTTTTCAAGTTTAATTCGATTAGTGTTTGAATACAAACAATTTCGTCAAATGTTATAATTTGTACAGAAAATTTATAACTAAAGTTAAAAAATGGTATAATAAATAAATTTTTGACAAAAAATAAATTTTGTTCCTTGTAGGTATTAATAACGAATAGTAGTCACTTGGGGACTTAAGAAATGTACCATTTATAAGAAAATCTGCAAAGTAATTAACGTAGCTATACACACAGTGTAAGAAATACGGTGGGTCTTAAGGGCAACTTTTTACGTGTGATGATTATGTTGTAGTGCTACTGCTAGACACCAGGTAGCGTGTGAGTAAGAAAAGCAGAAAAAGTCTAGTCTAATTAATTTATATTCACAAAGATATAAGGAATATCAGATTTTTTATTATATATTATTTTGAAAGTAAACAAAGCATATAAGTACTTAGATTTTTTTACCTGGTAAAAACTTTTTTTCAACATCTTTAATTACTTTTATTTTATAAAATAAAAGGTAGCAAAGTGTTTTACTCTCACAAAACTAATTTATATCAGGACTACATCAATTTGGGATAGGAAACTAGTCCATTTTTACAACAATTATTTATCCATGGTTGCTTTAAAAACAGACAGTTTTGCATCCCTAGAATCCTAGTACCTTCACATTATTTAATGCAACACTTGTTTACAATTCGAACAGTAAATTTTTGACTTAAACTCTAAACCTACATTGTGTGTTAATATGCAGCGTTTGAGAGTATAAAGTAGAGGACCCAATACTCGACCACTCTACACAATTTTGAGGTTGTTTTGGCCAGCAAAATATAATACGTATGAAAATTTAACACTGTGACTGTTGGAGAGTACAAACAAACTACTTAACTTTATAACAATACAAATAAAAAAGGATATTTCTTTCTAAAATTTAATGACCTTAAAGGTTTTACAAACGCACCTTTTTTACCCCGAAAGTCGATCACCTAAAACTAAATGGAAACAACACTCGATCACTTTAGACCCCAATACTCGATCAGAAGAATCCAATAAAATGAATTGATTCAGTTGAATTAAATGTACTCACTTCAAAGAGGTATATATATATGGCATATATTATTATACCTGTGTATAAATTCGTACATATACATCACATCTACCTTTTCGACATAAATGCCTCAGTT